CTTCGTCGAAGGGAAAAAGAGGTGGAACAGACTTAAGCAGCGCTCGAAACTGCTTCCTAACAAGACCGGAAATCTTTCGAGGACCCTCCGCGAGGACCGCCGTCGTGGCTGTACGCCGTTTTTCAATTAATTAGACCGGCTCGAAAGAATGACGCTGTAATTGCAACTGCCAGCCGCAGCGCGGACGTAAATCGCGCGTGCGGGCGCGCGTTAGCGTGAACGTGTATTACGATCTCGTCGTATTACGCACGTCGATACACACACACACACACACACACATCCTGCCGCGAAACGACACACCTGGCTTTTTTCCTCTTTCCGCCGCGATCCGTTCGAGCGCGGAGCAAGAAGTAATTGTCGCTATTATTTCGCGCCCGGCGGCGGGCGATTTTTGTCGGCTCGCAAACCGAAAATACGTTTTCACCTGGCGGCGCGATCGAGAAATGCGCTCCTTGTTTTTCGCGATTTTCCGCTCGGACAATGACGTACGAATCGGGGGCGGCCTGTTAGTCCGGCGTAACTCTACGGATCCGTTCAGCCCAGCTGATAAATTGAGATTACCCTCTTTACTACTCGAGAACGAAGCATCGATGCTTCCGAAGTACTCAAATTTCGTAAGCATTTCCCCTCTCTCCCCTGCCTGGCCAGCCTCCGGCTGGATTATTTTCGCTCGCATGCGAGAACGCGATGCTCGGCCCATTCACCCCTTCACGGGGAAGAGAATCATCGGAAAAGCCGGGGGCTCTCACTGCCATCCACTTCCGACGCGGAAAATGCGGTGGCGATAATGGCGGCCCACCCTTTCGCCCGCCCCGCCTCGTCCTCGTCCTTCCTCTGGCTTCTTTTCAAGCCAGCCGCGATAACGGCAATCGGAATTAATTTCTTCGAGAACGAGCCAACGTTTTAATGGTTTCTCCACATAACGAGGAATCCATTAACGGCCACCCCCTTCAAAAGAGAGACCGGCACTTTTTTTGCACCGCCGGTGGTATCCTCCTCGCGAGTGCCCCCTCGCGGTTTCGCGGCTCGCGTAAATGCATGAAGCCACCCTGAGCTCGGTTCTTTCGCGCGAGGAAATATATCGCATTACTTCCCTTCCCTCCCCATCTGTCTATCTCTATCTTTCTCTCACGCGTTTTCACGTTGCAAATTAAAGTTATTACGATAAATAATAATTTCCGGTCCGATTCTCGGAGCGCAGGTCTCTTTGAGGAGAAACTCGTCCCGGATTGTATCAGAAGGCTCACAGAGTCGAGAGAAAAGGCGCGACCCTTGGATGTCTGAACGCATTAAGTGAAAAGTTCGAAGAAAAGCAAAAGGACTCGGGGATTCCGCGAAGGACCAGATCGTGTCGCGAATGTTACGACGGATTGTGTCCTGCCGTGAAACTCTTCGCCCTGAGGAACACCGAGTACAAGGACGAGGACATTGAGCGGCGGTTCGAAAACGTCCGATCTTGAAGAACATGCCAAGGGGCGCAGCAGTGAATCGTACGAATCGAGGCTCGTGGTTCGCATTGAGCAGGTGATTCGCTAACGATGTCACCCTGAGGACCACTTGGGAGACGAAAATGTGCTGCTCAGGTGGCCCAGGTGGAATCAGGCTGACCAGGTGCGGCGTCGTATGCGGGCTCGCTGCGTTGGCGGCCCTCAGCACCGCCCTTCTGGGCCCCACCTGGCTCCACACCGAGGAGAAGCTCGCCCTGCCGAATATGCCTAGGAATTTCGCCAACTTGGTCAGCGTGAGGTTCAAGCTGGGACTGTTCAGAGTGTGTCCGAGGATCGTGAAACCCACCAACTTCACATTGCGTGAGTAACGATTTCTCCCCTCTTTCACGACGATTGCAAGAGTAGACGGAGCGAAACCGATCATGCTCTCTGTGTACTTTTGCAACTTCGCACGGAAATAATCTGTGTGCGATAAATGCATTCCCAAGTAGGAAATAACTGCCGGCGAGATGCCGATTTTTAGTAAACAGTAGCAGTTGTAGATGCCAATATCGATTTGACACTGGCGGAATATTGGGGTGATAGCGATGGGTCAAGACGCGAAATATGATACTATAACTGTATCGATTCACAGCATCGCAAAAGTACGTGCAATTATCGATTCTCAATAATGATTATTATTATTGCTATTATTATTATTATTGTTAATACTACGATTGCTATTGTTATTGTAATTGTTAATATTACGATAACTTGTGGGAGGAAGGATTATAACCAATATATGGGATGCTTATTTATTACCTGCAGATGTTCATTTTTAATGTTATATGAAGTGAAAAACGCCGGAGCGCGAGATACTCAGCTGGGAACTCGAATCTTCCGCTTGCCACGCAACCGCTCTTACCACTGAGTTATTTATGTTCCATTTTGGTGACATCTCTCGCTCTCATATTTAAAGCAGTTGGTCAAAACATTTTCCTTCTAATATTAGCTGCATATTGATGGAAATATCCGCATTTTCTACCATTTTCTATTATGTGCGCACCTTTTATCAGCTCAAGTGACGTATAAATAAAGCGTTAATAAAAAAAAACCAAAAAGAAATAATACCTCCGTATTTGTAATATTAGGTGTATATATCTGTCTTAATTTTGCGCTCGAAATTAACATTTATCGCTTAGATAGTTAAATAAAGTTATAGGAAAATATTTTTTCAGCAAATAATAAACTTATGCGCGGAATACCGTCACTGAGAATCCAGCACTCTACGGACGAGCTATCCCAAGGCATCGGTATCGTAATGTGAATTCCGTATTTCAACACCGAATCGGTACCCGACGAGGTACTGAGGAGACTGACGAGTCTCCGATACTGGCCGAGTGTGTATAATTCCTACGCGAGCTGTCATTTAACCTAATATGACCCGTGATGAAGTAAGTGCAGATGCACTGTGCCGCATTTGACGGGGTATAGGTACCCCTCTTGAGGCGGACGTTACGATTAAAACTCTAACTTTACGCTAATGAATATTCATGCGGCAAAAAATTGCGGATTCCTCGGACGTCTAAGGAGCTTCATAGTTCGTTCCGCGTGCGCGAGATGGTCTCGTTTCTTCCGTTTTCTCGGCGAAATCTCGCGGCACGACGGGTCTCCCGCGAAGGGTTTTCAAGAACGACGAGGAGTAAACGTAAAAACAAATGACAGTGGTTGTAAAGAGCGCGACGGGTGCGACGGGGGCGGTCGGGGAGGGGCGCGGAGAGAAAACAGCCGCGGGCGGCGCGGTTACAAGGATGGTTGCAGCTACCCGGACGGTGACAATTCCTTTTTATTTCCCTCGCAGCCTCGTCTCGCTCGCTCGCCCGTTCAGGCTTTCGACTTTTATTTCCACCGTTGCTATTTCCTCATCCCCGCTTTGCCGCGGTTGCGGACCACCCCGCGGCCCCGCATGAGAGGATGTATTTAAACGTATTCCGCGATCGGACGATCCGTCCTTATTGTTCCGCATTTTCCGTCGAGCTTCAATTCTTCAAGGCTCCTTGCCGAGCACGGCTCCCTTGCCGTTATTTATTCACGGTGACGGAGGCCGTCTATCGGATTGCTGAGGCGCGCCGCGCCGCAAGGCGGAAAGTTCGCCGGAGCCTTCGGCCTTAACGAGACTTATTACGATTGCCAGACTAAACTCGATTAGATTAATTAAGATTGCTTTACGTATAGGTTTTACTCGTAATTCCATTTTAAGAGGCGGACCCGGCCGAAAATGCGGAACATCCGTAATAAATTCTGATAAATTGAGTTAGCGCGGCGTTCGGCCCCCTTAAATTGACTTGAAATTCTAAAATTAAATTTCAAATTTCGCTAAAATTAGTTAGCCGTGGCGGACAAGTTCCCGGCATGAGAAATATGACGGCGGAAGGATGAAAGAAGAGGATTGAAGAGTTACAAGCCGGAGCTGATTAACTTTCGATGTGCTAAGGTCGAGATAATAATTCCAGCCGGTATTAAAAAGGAGCACTAAGACTAGTTGCGAACTTAATTAAACTTTCTAATTCTAAGTAGGCTCGCAATAAACCCGAACGAGACCTTGACGAATGCAAAAATGGGAGGTTGCACAGCGAATGATAAGAGTGATCTTTTAACGAAATACACAACAACAACGGGACGTCGACGGAATGTTTTTCCACGAAATAATCGACCATCCTTTTACGTTTAACGATGCAAACAATTACGTGCTTTTTTCAGCGCTTCCAATCGGAACGAAGAATATATTTACGTAAAAATTACATATAATAACGCGCGAGATCTGCTAACCGTTGTTGTTAATTATCGGTTATTTACGCGTACAAAGTCAAGCGAGAGATTTATTTAGGCGAAACACCATTATCCGGTTACATTGGGAACCAACACGCAAGCAGCGTTTTCATAATGGAGCCGCCGTCGGTGTGTGTGTGTGTATGTGTGTGTACGCGATCATATTATTTGTCGATTAATAAATGATTTTATCCGCGGCAATCCTCGGCGCGGCTAATAATTAATATTAAAGCTCCGGAAATAGCGGCGGAAATCGACTTTCATCGAACCCGAGTTTCATCGGCCGATTTTCCGTGTTGGATGGAAAACGCGCTTTTCACCGGCACACCTGGCAACCGGCGTACCCACGAAAATAGCCCGATGTTGCGATGCGCCAGCAACGACGCAAGCTACGTTCGACAATGTTGAACATTTAACCCCCCTCCCCTTTCTCAATGCTATTGTTAACATCAAATTAACCGGGGTCACGGCGACGATGCTCGAGGTGATCTTAAGACGTGGGCCACGTCGCCTCGTTTCGATAATTTGCAAATGTTTCGGAAAGTCTTCCGGAGTTACTCTTCCGCCCAGCTCTTTATTCCGCTTAAGAGCCTCAGAAGCGCGTCAAAGTAGACGACAGTAACTGAATTAAATTCGAAAGTTTCCTCTCTGGAAAACTGGCGGGGAAAGCTGGCGGTGCCGGGGGTGGCCCGGGGGGGAGAGGGTCACCCGTAAGTAGCCTCAAGGCCGTTCGCCGTAGGGGATCGCGCGCGAGTTATTAGTTCAAATGAGCGGTGAGAACAACAGGGAAATACTTTTAAGCTCGGATGGAGAGAAACGAGCCTCGCCTATCGCCTCCGCGGAGACTAGTGATTCAAAGATGGGGAGTAGTACGAACGAACGGCGCACCTCGTAAATCTTAGCACCCTCCGGGTCACCGGTTGGATTTTTGCGTGCGAGACTCCGCCGATAAATGACGGATCTCAATTACAGGGGCAGGGGGGCTGGTCCTGCGACACGAAGCCGAGCGATTTGCGTGTGTCTGCGAGACTCGCGTCCTTCCTCGGAAGTTACGGGCGATTTGTGAAATTGACACGCATCGTTAACTTTTATTCCGAGCATGTTTTTTAAGGCGGAGCTAAATTAAATTGCTGTTTTACGATTATTTGCGGTTTTAATATTACGGTAATTCTACAATTCTATAATTAAGCATTTCTTGTTTCATAAAGGCAGCGGCATAATTTTTCAATTACACGCGTCATTTAATACTTGAAATTGGAAATGAGAATTTTTTACACGCATCGAAATTATAAAATGATATTCAGAATCGAGAAATTGTTGAAGTTCTAATTTACCGTTAATTCATTTATACATTAATTTGCAATCATGCAAGTCGGCGGCTATAACGACTTGTTTTCCCATCATTTGTAATTCGCGAATCATCTCGTCGCGCTGTTGGGTAACCATTTTTTCAACGTCCCGAAAAGAGTGGAAGCTGAAGCGAACGCAATCAAGATGGGAAAGAGAGTCGGCAAGCGAGCGACTTTCCGTAGCGGTATGTCGTTGATTCCGCAGGACTAACGAATCCTTATTATCCTCGTCATCGCGCGGAATTCGTTCCGGAGAAGTGCGGACAGAGAAGCTGAAGGATCTTCCTCTTGACAAGTGTCAGTTCACGATAACCGCGTGATGATGATCAATGATGATGAACTCGATGACATCATCGATCATTAAGCGGTCACTGAATGATGTCCCGATAAGGGAAGCCGGTGTTCCACTAAATTCAGATTTTTAGCAGAATTATGGAATCACGATGCAATTTTCATTGCACGTCATGTAAAAAAAGAAAAAAGAAATTATACCTCTATAACACGCGTAATATAATTAACAAATTAATACACATCCTACATGTATATTGTGTAGAATGTATAATGAGTTATAATATTAATTATATTTGCATTGTGACGTAATTAATTACCGTAATTTGCTACATTATCTGTCAATGGAGTTTAAATAGTATCTACTGTCTACGTAATTTAATTATTATTATCCCTAATACTTAATTATTCATTATCCCGTTGCTGTTATTGCTAAAATCATTATTGCACGATTATTCTCGTCCGGTATTGATTAATAAGAGGTATTATATTAGAAGAGAATAATAGAGAACTGTCTAAATCGACGCGTGTCAATAGTCGAAGCAGGGCTCGTTACGCGACCGGCAATTAATTACTGCCTCCGTAAAACTGCGGGACGCCGACAATTTGTCTTCATTGCTGGCGCGACTTATCGAAGGGGATGAGAATGGAGTGAAAAATAGGAAAAGCTATAGGAGGGTAGGCGAGCAAGGCGGAGGATTTTGACGTGGCGGAGAGAAAGCCGAGTGGAAATTAGATTCGCGAGAAAATTTCATCGGTCTGAAAATTCGGAAAATATAAACTCTCACGAATATGTACGAACCTAAATCATGTGGATTCGAGCGATGAACAAATCGATTCGTCATTAATGCGAAACAAAACAGGAGAGAAAGGAAAACAAACGAACGGGAATTCGGATTCGCGTAATATTTCGCG